GAGTGAGAGGGAACACAAGCAGGGGGAGTGGGAGAGGGAGAAGCAGGCTCCCTGTTGAGCAAGGAGCCCGAGGCGGGACTCGATCCCAGAACTCTGGCATCATGACCTGAGCCAAAGGCAGACGTTTAACTGACTGAGCCACCCAGGCATCCCGAGAGCAGAAAATTTCTTAGAGGAAAAAAGTACAAAAGGGATTGAGGATAAATATAAGGAAAGGAATCGGGGAGGGTTTTTTTTTTAAGTTTTAAGTATATTAACCCAAGTCAAGCATTTCTTTCAATCATATTAAGAGAGTACCTACTAGAACTTGAAAATACTAGGTGATCATGGGAAGTTATGAGGGTGGTCACATGTTTTTTTCCCCCTGTTAAGATTAAAGAACCTGCAAATAGTTCAGGAAATTAAGCAGCTTTTAAATTCTTCCTTCCCAGGGAAAGGATAGTCTCAGGGTTTATTTGTAATCAGAAATTGAGAGCAAAACCCAGCAAAGTTGTCTTGTTGAAATTACGTGTAGGCAGCAGGAAAATCCCTGGCCACCCCATCACTCTTCAACATAAAATCATCCACCAAAGCTACAAGAATTAGGAAAAATCATATCTGTTCTTTTAAAATCCCTTTCTTGATTTTTTTCTGCCATTTCCTCCGGAAAATAAACTTATTGGTAAGACAGAACCAAGTAAAATGATTTATACATCTGGAAAGAATTGCATTTTGTGTTAAGGAGGTGAATCGCACATCAGATTATGTTGGCACACGCAAGTGAGCTTCAACATCTTAAACTTCTCTTTTCCCTCCCTTCGCTACACTTGCCTATTTTTCTACATTTAGTTGTACTAAACCTCGCTTAGCTTCACCAGTTTAATAGGGTTTGGGCAGGCAGTGCATATATGATGTCCTGAAAACACAGTGCCCTATGTAAACAATTGTTTTTGGCAATTCAGAGGTTTCGTGGCAGGATTGCATTTTTTTTTTTCTGAAAATCAAATGTTTAGGCCAAAGCTGGAATTGCATGTGCATTTTTATGACCTGGCATATTCAAACATTACCATTGTATGTTTAAAAAGGCAATTTGATCTTTTTTGCTCTTTCTTCTTTGGGCTTCCATCTTTTCTGGTGCCATTGTTTTCTTTTTTACAGTACATTTTCAGATCTTGGTATATCTCTTCAGCATCTGTTTCTCCTCAACTATAATTTTCATTCAAAAATAATAACTCCTTGGTCTCTTTGGACATGTTTTGTTTTGCTCCCGCCTGTGAACTTTGCCAGGGTGTGCTGAAGGTTAACAGTTCCATTTCTGGAATTCTCTTGGATCCCATTTGGAGAAAAGTGCCAAAGTATATAAGGAGGGTTCAAATGTACCTGGGCCCTGCCGAGTCCTTTGAGGAAGGCTTCACATGGCTGCACCCTCCTCCATCTCCCTTCTGTTCTCACTTGGGCCAGCCTTCTTCAGGATTCCGTGTGCAAGTTCCCATCTTGCTACACTTGTGGTGAGCCTGAAACTGATGTAATGTTGTGTGTCAACTACACTCAAATAAAAGAAATAATAAAAGGAGAAAAAAGAAAGAATCCTGTGGAAAAGAACCTTTAGAGTCACAAAAGGGCCAGAATACTTGTTTCTCTAGCCAGACTCTCTCATGTTTATTAACAGGTAAAACACTGCTTCTCACTTCACTGAGTTTTCATCTCACATTACCCAGGGTCATGAGTATTTCCATTGCTCATTTATTAATGCTCCCATCAGTTGTCGGCAATGACCAGAGTTGCTCAAAGAGGTTTTCCCACAATTGCTGAAATAGTGGAAAGTTTAGGTGAATGACAGAAGTGTTGCTGGAAATGGCCATGAGGGACCTTTTAGGGATGTTTTGCCTGAGGGGCTCTGGGTCACAGATTGCTCCGTTAACATCATATCTGCGCTAGAGTACGCGTCAGGCAATTTGCTTTAGTTGTGACTTTCTGTTGCAAGAGGCCATACACTCAACCTAAAGCGGCTCAAGCCAAAAGAGATTTTTGTGGCCTGCATCACTGAAAAGCTCAAAGGTAGGGCTGTCTCCTCATGCTGCTAAACGTAAGCCTCAGATGGTGTTGTAAGACCGCCAGCTTCTCTCTATAGATCCCTTGCGTTCTCTCGTTAGTGTTGGATCATTCCTTGCAGGCTCTCCCCTCGGACTCACGAGAGGCCTGCAGAAGCTCCATAACTTACATCTTCTTAGTTTCACATCCAGAAGGGGTCATTGCAGTCAGCCACTTGATAGTGGAAGGGTGAGCTGCATGAAACTGGATTTCCAGAGTATCTGGAAAGAGGAGCATGCCTGGAGATCTGACACTCCTCAAGATTAACCAGCCCTGGAGCCATACTACCTTAAGACTTGTGATGGGAGACAATAATTTATTCTTATTGATTAAATGACTTTATATTAAGTTTTCTTGTTACAAAGGAATTCTTTTTTTTTGCTGTTTCATCTTTTGGCCTACACTTTCTTCTAGTTCCATTATTTTGTTTTATACAGTACATTCAGCTGAAAGCATCTTAAATATTATTGTCATATTGGCTCCAGGTGGGTCACATGCCCCTTCCTGACCATTCACCATGAGACTATGATGTGTAATTGGCCCCAGCCTAAGATGCCCCAGCCCACTCTGCAGTGGGACAGCCTCCTCCTTCCTGACTGTATGGACTGAACATGAAGGAGGAGCGATATCTCCTGGCAAATGAGGGTATGTTTCCATAAAATAGTGAAATAGATATTAGGAATCCAAGATATCAGGTGTCCAGGACTGCATCCCTTTCAGTGTGCCTTCTATTACACTGTGGCTTTGACCTGTCAGTATGGTGAGTAAGGAGTGTGTAATTCAGCACTTGGTCTGGTAGCCCAGTGTATATAACTTCGGAGGTGTTCAGATCAAAGGCAGATCTGCTGTGCCACTGACCCATCTCACTAGCCCATGAATACTTTTCCTCACTCAGAGCCTTTGGAACAGCAGCCATTCTAAGGTCATGGCAAAGAAAAATGTGGTCCGTGGCCAAGACAAACAACCCTTGAGATGCTAGATAGTCCAGGCCTCTCTAAAAGATATGAGGAAACGCAGACAGTGATTGAAGCTGCACGTACCATCCCATAGGTCCCATGGTTCTCTGGCCCCTTCTCTCATATTCCCTGAAGTTCAGCTCATCTCATGGGTCTCAGAGTCAGCCTGGGACGTAGAACAGTGGGGCCTCAGGTCAGGCTGCGTCTAGTGATTTCAATTCTGCTGTTGGCTGGAATTCCATCTGTCAAGAAGGTTTTGCAGTCAGCCATTTGATAGTGGAAGAGTTAGTCCATGAAACTGGATTTCCTGCCTATCTGGAAAGAGGAGCACCCCTGGAGATCTGACATGCTCTGTGAAAATTAGGGGTTAGTTTTTGCTATTCCTGGTTAGTCTCTGCTAACCCTAATGCATTTCAATATTTGAGGATTCACACACACACACACACACACACTCAAAGAAGAATTTTTCTATTTTTTTATCATGACCTTAAGTAACTTCATCAAGAGAATCTAATTAACATCAAACTATTTACTTCCCTCCAAAGTAATTTCCTGTCAATGCACAGACATGCATTTTCACTTAGTTATAATTAGTGTGAACATACTCGTTTTTGTTTAAGAAAGGTTTTCTTTACCTTGGCATTCAGATTTGTTTTCATAGGCGAAGAAAACACTGAGAACTAGAAGGAACCTTCACTGGAGAGTTGGGAGGATTATACAGGGTCATGTTATCCTACAGTTGACGAAACCTTGAAGGACCCTGAATTCCACCGCATATCTCTGATGACTGCCCTTTAGACTAATAGACTCACTGGAGCAGCTTTCCCACACAAAGGCCTCTCCAGTTCTTACTCCACCACACCAAGGGGGGACTCTCCCTTCTAAAGGAAGCAGGAAATCCCACTGTCCAGGTCAGGAGGGTCCAGTGTCTGTCACGTGCCTGCACCCCTGGTACTCGCTTCCCTGTGTTGTGAAGTTATGTTCAGTGGTTTTCCATGCAGGAAGAAAGCCAAAACCATGCTACTCGGTAACACTTTTCCACACCATTCTCCTCAAATGTCTGCTGCTTTTTTTTTTTTTAATAAAATGTAATCACAATAGGTTCCAATCTATCAAAGCGTAAATTTCCCAGTCTTTTCTCCTAAGCCAAGGAAGCAGCAAAGTTAGGTTTAATTAAAAGCAGCAACTATTTGTACAGCTGTCCCTGGGTTCATGGCTCGTAAAAGGATTTAGCTTCAAACCCCGCTGCCCACGTCCTTGGGCTCCTGGTCTGGGCAGTGCCAAACCCGCGCTTCCCCAGTCACTTGGGGAAGCGGGCCTCCCCAGCTGTGCCCTGATGCTTCTTTAGCCGCCAGATTCCCTGAGCGCGTGTGGCTTGAGCAAAGCAGAGAAGAGCAGAACTTCCACATACACAAGTCCCCTTCTTTTGTTTGGGGACACGAGGCCTTGAAGGTTACTCCAAGAAGTTGCTGAAAATTCTCCTAGGGTTAGGAAAGGGAGGGAGGAGGATCGGGATCGGTCTTCCTTTTGCGAGCTTTCTCTGGCTTTTGGCACTTTTGCTCAGGGTAGGTCTTTAACCTGCCACCCCCAGCACCCAAGGCATGAATGATCACTGACAGGCATCCTTCAAAGGAGATGGGGGCGGGGTATCCCTGCCGATAGATGCTTCTGCACCAAGCAGCAGGTTTTCCCAGCAAAGCCCTGGAGAAGAGGAAGAACCCGCGCTCAGCATTGGCTGATTTTCGAGCGCACCGGGAGCAGTGCCTCCTGCAGCCTTGGGTCCGGACACGCCCATTCGGATAGGAATTCGGGGGCCAGCGCTGGTCACCTCCTGCGGGGCAGGCTCCACCCTCGAGAGGCAACAAGGCCAACAAGCGGGTTGGGAAATGTGACCCTGGCGACCCCAAACGCCCCCGCCTCTCTCGCTCACTGCTACACCTGCCCGCGGAGCGCGCGGAGCCGCCGGCAGAGGCGATGGCTAGCCCTGCGCCCTTAGTGGCCTCCATCAGCCACCAAATGGTGGCTCTGCAGACTCTGCAGCTGCTGCAGCAGGAGTGGGGCTGGGGGGACGGTCCGGGCGACGCGGGGATCCCGCGCGATCCAGACCACGTGTCCGCTGCCCCAGCGCGTCGCACAGGCCCGCGGAGGGCCCGGCTGGGGCCCGGGCGCGAAGAGGGGGGAGGGCGGCGGGGGCCCAGGAGTGGCGGGTCTGGGGCGCGGGCAAGCTCCCCAGAAGTAGAAGTGGTGCGAGGCGCCGAAGGGGGCGCGGAGCTGCTGCCCTTCCCCAGGAGTCGGGGGCCCTGCACCCTGGCCCAGATGGCGATGCGCAGCGCGCTGGCCCGCGTGGTGGACTCGACCTCGGAGCTGGTCAGCGTGGAGCAGACGCTGCTGGGCCCCCTCCAGCAGGAGCGGTCCTTCCCCATCCATCTGAAGGTGAGTCTGGCCTCGAGCACCCGGCTGGGGCGCAGGATCCCGCGGCAGGGCGGGGCTGCAGGGCCGGGATAAAGCCCGGAGGGGCCACCCATTGAAAACCTGAGCGGTCCAGGGGATTCAGCGTCTGTGAGACGGAAGGCGGGAGGTGACAGCCCTGGGACTTGAGTCCAGGAACTCGGGGTCCACCTGGGGCCCAGCTGATTGCGGAACTGAGACGCGGGGAGGCCTTGCCAAAACCTTCCCCTGGAACTCCTTTCTCCCTCTCACATCAATCAGCTTCCTGCTCTAGCCCAAGGCCCTTTCCACTTGCGCAGCTCCTGGGATGGAGGACAGCTGTCCCTGCTCCCCGCTTCCAAATTAATAACCCTTACTCCAGAGCCTTCAATACCCCTATTAAGTCCCCTCTGCCTTTTGCATGACAGAATCACCTAGATTTATTTAAAGTTCCTTCACACTTAAGAATCAAAATTATTTTTGCATAAACCCAATTCCCCACAGAGTTCAGAGGCCTTACAGAGTCAACCTAAATTCTCATAAAGGGGGGTGAGAGCGGGGTGGATCCCGGGTGTCAAAGCGTGAATACTAATGCTAAACTCCTGCTAAGTCACGCAGCTCCTATTTGTAGGGCCCGTTTCCTCTCATGGTACCAAACTGTGCTGGTCCGTGTAGCCAGGGAGCACAGTAGCTGCCCCTCAGGCTGAGTGGGGCTGTGGAAATCTGGAGGTCTTGGGATCCAGTCTCCACCTTATCATTAACTAGCCTAATTGGTTTAAGGTCACAGATCTCTTTGAGGTCTTTTGGCTTTCCAATTTTGCTTCCTTCCTTCCCCTTGGGAGGCTAGCAGAAGGAAATGAGGGGGGAATGATGAAGAAAGCTTAGAGCAGTTCCCAAGAGTTGTTATTCTTGCTCTACAAGCCAAGATTTGGAAAAAATTGCTATGTTTTAGATTACTATACACTGTAAAAGACTGACTTGAAATTAAATATAATAAAGCCTATGATACACCCAAAAAAGTATTGTTACTCTAACACGATGGTTTCTCAATCTCCTGCTGTTGACATTTTGGGCTGGACAATTGTGGGGTTGTCCTGTGCATTATAGGATGTTTAGCACCATCCTTGGCCTCAACCCAGGAGATGCCAGCAGCCTTACCCACCCCCCCAACAAACTGATACAACCAAATATTCCCAAATGTGTGTTGGGGGGAGGGAAAATAAGATCGCCTCCAAAGGTGGAGCACGGCCCCACTCACGTTAGGAAGTTAAAAAATGAAGCTGCACTTCACTAATGATCTCGTGTAGAATGCACCTTTCTTTGATACCACAAAGAAATAAAAAATCCTGCCAATTAAACTATGATGCACCATCTATTGTAAGATCACGTCAGAGATTTTTGAAATGTGAAAAAGAGTGCATCTTAGAATTGCTGAAATAGGAAGGGCTGTGTGATGTTAGGGGCATATACAGGGCACATGTATGTTGGCAAAAGGAGAGACTGAGTGATCGGCTTTACCTTAGGTGGTCTCGGAAGGCTTCTTGGAGGAAGTAATCTTTAAAAAAAAAAAGAATGTTTGTCCCACAGACATGAAAAGGAAAAAACATTTCAGGGGAGCTGTGTGATCCAAGGCCCAGAAGCAATGAAAAGGTGAACGAATTAAAATTAGTTCACTATGGCAGAAGGTAAAACAGGATGCTGGACAGGTAAGTGGGGTCAGATGGCAAGAAAGGCCTGCATGTCATGCAGAGGGCCTTGAATTGTCTTGCAGGCAAAGGTAACCGTTGAAATGACTGAGGCGAGGACCTGACCCTAGATAAGTCACAGCAGGTGAGGTTGCAGTTGGGGGATCAGGTTGGAGACCACTCTCCAAGGGCCTGGCCCAGCTCGGATGCACTGGAGCTCTCTGCTGTGGCCTACAAATCATGCCACTCGAACATCATGTAGCCATCACTTCTACTTGGTAATCCTTCTAACGCTTTCTACTTGACTTTTTGTCCTCAACATTTTCCATCCTTCTCAAGCTTTGTTTATCCAAACCTCAACCGGCTCACTCCTCTTCTGAGAAAATGGAGGCCATTGGACACAAATATCTTCCTCTCTACCTAAAAAATCTCACTTCTACTCATCTTCCTTCTTGTCTCTTATAAAGAAATGTTGTTTGGTCCCCCCAACCCCCAACACAAAGTAGTCTTTCTACTGGAGTCTCCTGTTCACCTGCAGGGGAATAATGAGTTTTGAGTGAATAGGGAGTGCTTTCAGAAGGGAGAGAAACAGGGAGAGGTTTCTCTGGATGATTTGCCTCCTGGCCAACATCTTGGAATTTTGCTTGGTTTTCTGTTTGGAGAAAAGGTAATATCTCTATTTGTAGAGTAGTGATTACAAAGAACTTAGACTTAAGGGCACAGTAGTCTGTCTTTCCAGGGGGCTGGTTATCCTGACTTGGCTTCATTATTACTAGTGTTAATTTGACATCTGCATATACTACAAAGTGATCACCCCCATAAGTCCAGTTACCATCCATCAGCATACAGTTGACTGCCTTCACCCATTTCACCCCCCCTCAACCCCCTTCCCTTCTGGGAACCACTAGTCTGTTCTCCGCATCGATGACTTTGTCTTTATTTTGTTTGTTCATTTGTTTCATCTTTTATTTATTTATTTATTTATTTATTTATTTATTTATTTTAAAGATTTTATTTATTTATTTGAGAGAGAGAGAATGAGAGAGAGCACATGAGGGGGGGGGGGGCCAGAGGCAGAAGCAGGCTCCCTGCCAAGCAGGGAGCCCGATGCGGGACTCGATCCAGGGACTCCAGGATCATGACCTGAGCCGAAGGCAGTCGCTTAACCAACTGAGCCACCCAGGCGCCCCGTTTCATCTTTTAGATTTCACGTATGAGTGAAATCATAGAGTATTTGCCTTTCTCTGTCTGACTTATGTCACTTAGCATAATACCCTTAAGGTCCATCCATGCTGTTGCAAATGGCAAGATTTTATTCTTTTTTATGGCTAAGTAGGGGCGCCTGGGTGGCTCAGTCATTAAGTGTCTGCCTTCAGCTCAGGTCATGATCCCAGGGTCCTGGGATCGAGCCCTGCATCGGGCTCCCTCTCTCACTTCCCCTGCTTATGTTCCTGTTCTCGCAATCTCTGTCAAATAAATAAATAAAATCTTTTTTATGGCTAAGTAATATTCCACTGTGTGTGTGGGTTTGTGTGTGTGTGTATATATATATATATATATATATACACACACACACACTACCTCTTTATCCATTTATCTATCACTGGACATTTCGGTTGCTTCCATATCTTGGCTATTGTAAATAATGCTGCAATAAACATGGGGTGCATATATCTTTTAAAATTAGTGTTTTCATATTTTTGGGTTAAATGCCCAGAAGTGGAATAGCTGGGTCATGTGGTAGTTCTGTTCTTAATTTTTTGAGGAATCTCCATACTGTTTTCCATAGTGGCTGCACTGATTTACAGCCCCACCAACAGTGCACAAGGGTTCCCTTTTCTCCACACCCTCACCAACACTTGTTCTTTCTTGTCTTTTTGAAAATAGCCATTATAACAGGTGTTGGGAGGTATCTCACTGTGCTTTTGATTTGCATTTCTCTAATAATTAGTGATGTTGAGCATCTTTTCATGTACCTGTTTGGCCATCTGTATGTTTTCTTTGAAGAAATGTCTATTCACATGCTTTGCACATTTTTTAACCGGTAATTTATTTATTTTTTTGTTGTTGAGTTGTAGGAGTTCTTTATATATATTTGGATATTAACCCCTTGTCAGATATTTGGTTTGCAAATATCTTCTCCCATTCGATATGTTGTTTGTTCATTTTGGTGATGGTTTCCTGTGCTGTGCAGAATCTAATGAGATTCTGTTTGATGTAGTCACATTTGTTTATTTTTTAATTTTTTTTTAAAGATTTTATTTTATTTATTTATTTGAGAGAGAGAGTGTGACAGAGAGCGCAAGAGGGGGTAGGGTCAGAGGGAGAAGCAGACTCCCTGCTGAGAAGGAAGCCCAATGCTGGACTTGATCCCAGGGCTCTGGGATCATGACCTGAGCCAAAGGCAGTCGCTTAACCAACTAAGCCACCCAGGCGCCCATATTTGTTTATTTTTGCTTTTCTTTCCATTGCCTTTAGAGTCAGATCCACAAAGACGTTCCTAAGACTGATGTCAAGGAATTTACTGCTTATGTTGTTTTCCCCCTAGGAATTTTATGGTTTCACGTCTTACCTTCAAGTCTTTAATACATTTTGCATTAATTTTTGTGTATAGTTTAAGATGGTGGTCTGGTTTCATTCTTTTGCCTGTGGCTGTTGAGTGTTCTTATTACCATTTATTGAAGAGACTGTCCTTTCTCCATTGTATGTTCTTGTCTCCTTTGTTGTAGGTTAATTGTCCATATCTATGTGGATTTACTTGTGGGCTCTTAATTCTGTTCCAATGATTCATGTGTCTGTTTTTATACCAATATCATCCTGTTTTGGTTACTGTAGCTTTGTAGTATATCTTGAAACCAGGGAGCATGGTACCTCCAGCTCTGTTCTTTTTCAAAATTGCTTTGGCTATTTGGGGTCTTTTGTGGTTCCACACACATTTTAGAATTACTTGTTCTAGTTCTGTGAAGTAGGCCATTGAAATTTTGATTAGGTATTTCACTGAACCTGTAAATTGCTTTGAGTAGTATGGACATTTCAACAATATTAAATATATATATATTCTTTCAATCCAAAAATATGGAATATCTTTCCATTTATGTGTGTCTTCTCCAATTCCTTTCACGTTTTCTATATTTTTTAAATTAAGAACATGTGGATTGATTTTAGACACAGAATGATTTCAGGAGGATTTGTGCTAATGGAAATAATACCTGTGTATCACTTGGAAGTGTGTGGAAACTATCCCTCTAACATCAATTCTCTCCCACAGTGTTACCCTTGCCACAGAGAGGAGGAGGACTCACTTGAATGAAAGCCCACGGC